ACAGGTTGCTGCTATTGAAATATCGAGTAACTATCGATCTAATTTGAAGCATTTCAGTCGCAAGGAGTCCTGTCGACAATTTTACTGGAGAAAAATTCGAACGAAAACAGTAAGTTCAGATTTATTCCAATAAAGTCCATTGAGGGAAGTCTGAAACGGGCAATAGAATATGCGCATGCGTCTCCGTTGTCATAATAATAATGCAGTCTTAATAAAACATCGACTCCACAAAAAACAAGGCAAGTAGAGAACCTTCCGTTCATCGTAGACAAGAAGAAAATGACGGAGCATTTGTTTTGTCACCACTGCTCCATGATGCATGTTGCATTACTCATGTATAGTCATGATATACGACATGGAGTAGGACATGTATACACGTTCTTTACACTTGAGACATATAGAAGGAAACCATTTATTAGTTTAGACAGGCTGCATAACCGAGCTGCACAAGCTCTGGGGCTTTCATACCAACAAGTCTATGTTGTGATAAATAAAACAAGGACGGTAGGGGTCGTCTCAAAAACAAAAACCGGGACATAAAAGGATATTAGACAGGTTTGATAAATGGGTCATTAGGCGGACAGTGTATAAGATTTATGGGCAGAAGGTACCACCGAGTTGTAGCAATATTCGGGGGAAAATTAAAGACACAATTAATGTTTTCCGGAAAACCGTATTTATCCCCCTTACGAGACGAAATTTTCGATAGCCTGCACGTGGCGACGACCGAGCAGTTTCCAGGGGTATAATATTTCATCCTGTCTACGAGGTCACATTATCCCCGCACAATGTATGACTAACGCAGTAAAGGCTCCCCGAACATTTACCTGGATGAAACCAGAATCATTCAACTGACTACACGTGGCTACCGTCAGAAAGGCCCCTATTGTACCACCAGGTAAAGGTAAGCGTGTCATTGTTTTGCACGCCGGAACCCGTGATCGGAGGCTTATAGATTGACGTGAGCTAGTTTTCGAGGCGAAAAAGATAACCTGTGATTATCATACGGAAATGAATGGGGATGTGGTCATAGACTGGCTGGAACATCAGCTACTGACTAATTTAAACAACCCCAGTGTCATTGTCACGGATAACGCCAGCTATCATAACGTCTGGGAACCAGTTAGTGTCGCGCCAACCAGGAATAGTCTGGAGGCGATCATGCTGGAATGTTTGCCAATAAGAATAAGGAACCGGACAGATGCTCTGGCGACACAACACGGTCACGTTGTCTTACGTACGCCAGTCAGAAATTTGTAAGCTCAACCCTACTGATCTCATCTGGGCTAATTGTAAAGGGTTCTTGGCAAAACAAAACAAAACATTCAAACTCACACATGTCAAAGGGTTAATAACGCAACCTTTGCTCGAATTATACCAGAGGCATGGCGAAAGGCTGAAGATCACGTTCTTGAAATAGAACGTCAGTACCGCCAACGTGACGGCGTAGATGTAGATATCAACTTTGTTGTCCCAATTATCATACCTTTGGGTGACAGTACTGATTTAGATACGTCATCATCCGAGAAGATGGCTAAAGAAATCATCTGTGGGACAATAAATACTTCTTGATTAAAGAAACCAAATCCTCCAATTATATACTTACCCCGTTTCATAGCCTTTTGAGCTATTCCATGTTTTTTCAAAGCAAATATAATGCAGTACACATCTTAATTGATTTCAGCGTCAACGCATATCTTAATATATTACAATAACAGGAATATTCTGAGACCACCCCAAAGTATAGGTGTGAGAATGACCGGCCGGTGTGAGGTCATCACCTCGGGACAGGTGTTAGGTAATTACCTCAGGCTATAGGCAGTTTCATACATCCACGGCAACACATGAATATTTTCTCAGTTTACTATCATGCAACCTGTCAAAGTACATTTTTGGCTTATCACAGTGTCAGTTAGGACAGACTTGATAAGGTAGATTAGCGTTATTTTCATGTATGCGTTTTCATGTATGCGATTCGTATTTATGAAACGAAGTCAGAAAAAGCGTTTTTCTAGCAATTCCGACAGTTCTTTTAATACGTCTTTACAATATGTTTTCAAGTGTGTTAGTCACATGAGAATCGCCATTCAAAATATACATTCTAAGAGAAGATAAAAGCACCAATAGTATCATAAAGCACGAACAGAAATCAATCACATATAGATAGTTTTAAATTGTTTGATAGGAATTACTTACAGAAATTATAGAAGTTGTTATCCGTATATTGTGTTATAGACAGTTTTAATTGAATGATAAACCAATCATGTACACCGTGCAACATAATTAACTTATAAATTTATAAGGAGATGGAAGAAAAGTTAATCATCCATAAAGCACCTGTCCGCCCACCCAGCCTCCACTTATGACCGTCAAACTTCTTGAAAGTTAACCAGTTTCACGTCATGATATTTCAATATATTTAGTGGGGATGGAGTTCCAAAATCGTGGAATTTAATTTCGCAAAGTGGGATTCGAAATCGACAAAGCGATGTCTCTCAATGCTGGATTTTTAGAGGTTCGCGTAACACCTTTCTGAATATATTCAATCGTTTTTTACATCAGTCTCGCGGTTCAATTTACTGGCAGCCGGATATGAGAAACACACTAACGAATAGAGATGCCCTTACACTATGAAACGGCCTAATGTTCAAGACTACCGCTGCTTTTACGACATTGTTCATGCAATGCGGGGATCACGAAACGAACGCACAGAGAGAAAAGAGAGAGGATGTTATTAACACACAGACAATCAATTGTAGCCTACATGGTCTTTTTCTGTGGCTGAAAAAAAACAAATTAAACTTTTTCCCACACAGAATACGTGTAAACACCATGCTTCCGAGACTCACAGCTGGGTAACGTGTCTCCACATCGCTTGACTCGAATAGAGAGTCTGGTTGTCTGATACTGGTGGGTCGGTGGTTTGAACCTGACCCAGATATATGGCATGTACTCTAACTCTGTCTAGGTATTCATTATACCCATGAAGATCCGGGGTAGAATAGGTCTTCAGCAACCCATGCGTGTCGTAGGAGACGACTAACGGATCGGGTGGTCAGACTCACTGACTTGGTTGATAAATGTCATCGAATCCAAATTGCGTGGATCGATGCTCATGATATCAATCACTGGAGTGTCTGGCTCGACTCGATTATTTACAGACCGCCGTCATATAGCTGGAATATTGCTGAGGGCAACAAACAAAACAAAACTGTATTCATTAAGTAAACCAAGAGTCTACGCATAAACTACTTTCTAAAACTAGTATCCATAGCCTACGGAGTTAATTACGCACGGGTATACCAGATAGCTGATACTCAGACAAAGTCAAATGGATTCTGTCTGCAATTCAACGCAGCAGTATATGGTGTTTTGTGGGGAGGTTGCGCCTTGTACGGAGGCTCATTGGTGATGTTTGCGAATTAGATTGCAGCGCTTGTTGTATGGGTTTTATATTGTGGGATATATTCGTCGCTAGTTGGTGCATCTGGTAGATATATCATCCTCGTCACTATGTTAGGTATGAAATCATCGTCACAAGTGCATGTGTCAGGCATGACATCCTCGTCACCAGTGCGTGTCAGGTAGATGACATCCTCGACACCAGTGCATGTGTCAGGTAGATGACATCCTCGACTCCAGTGCGTGTGTCAGGTAGATGTCATCCTCGACACCAGTGCGTGTGTCAGGTAGATGACATCCTCGTCACAGGTGCGTGTGTCAGGTAGATGACATCCTCGTCATCAGGTGCGTGTGTCAGGTAGATATGATATCCTCGTCACTCGTGTTTCTTAAATATATGAGGAATTCAGGGATGCATGTGTTATAGTGCAAACCATTTCAATACTTTTATTTTGCATTTCATTTATCTAAATACCTAACTGGTTCAACATGTTTCCAAGTGCACCGAAATTTCTATGCCCTTTGTCCTTTAATATATTCAGCAAACATTCGACGTATCCCCTCTTATCATAAGCCCCTCCGGGCAGGACCCTTAATCTCCAGGGCTATCTATAAATTTCAATTAACACCTCCTAACGTCGCCGGATCTTACGTCTATACATACACGTGGGACAATGACCTTACCACACGTTATGTAATTCCTCGCTCTACAAAACCCGACTGACATGGTCAGTCAGAGAGAGACAGCCTAGAGAGACAGCCAGAAGGTAAGTGACAGAACGGTTCTCCCACCCGGGAACATTGGCCAATGTTCCCGGGTGGGAGAACCGTTCTGTCACGTTATTATCAACATGTACCTTTTCGACTCATTTCAACCATCAACAATAAATATGGCTGCTGTCGTCTAAACTTCACCCCTGAGTTTTGTCCTCCGTCATCACCCTGAGCTACCATCCGAGGGCCGAAACGAACGCCCTTGGACAGATGATGGAGAATAATCCGGGTAGCGTGAGTTTGCTGTGACTCACGCACGATCCCCCTACCCTAACCGGCATTTTGTAAACACAATCCAATATGGCGGAACGTACACTTTCTAACACATCCTCGTCATCAGTGCGTGTCAGGTAGATGACATCCTCGTCACCAGTGCGTGTCAGGAAGATGTGTCATCCTCGTCACTACTGCGCGTGTTAGGTACAAATGACAGGCTCGTCACTGGTGCGTATCAGGAAGATGTGTCATCCTTATCTTTAGTGAGTGTGTGTCAGGTACAAATGACATCCTCGCGGGTGTCGAGTTGCATCTCCGATCAGCGGATCCTGACACAGCTAGGGGAAGACACCGGCGCCACTCTGAAGAGCAACCATTGGGTCATAGCGCCTCATACATTAGTGCAACGCACGTTACAGTCCTCTCATTCCAAGTTATACACACGATTGTACTGTATAAAATTGACATACAACGAAAGTTCTCTTCCTGTCTGAATCACGTCGCTATTAAAGTGAAACAATCTTGATGACTATTTCATCTCACATATTAAATCTGGAAATAGCAGAAGAAACCGTCAGTAATTGCGTTTTTATGTTGCTTTGTTGCAGTACGTGAACGAACATGAGCTCATCTTTCATAAACGATATCGACAACCTGTTAACATTCCTGCAGAGTGATGGTAACACCACACAGGTCAACAGGTGAGTATCACACGGACAGACGCATTACCATCAATACACACCTACAAGCCTGCCCATCAGCTAGAGTACATACACTGTAAAAGAAATTTAAACAACAGTGACTATATTTCCATGTATAATAGCCGTTGTTTTAATTTTATCCTTTAATTATATTCAACTCGAAACAATTTGATTGTTTTTCGCATTTCAGTGAAACTGTTCCATTGCAAAAGTTATTTAAAAACCATTTCAATTTCTTCCTCTCCGCCTCTACATCACATGGGATACAGTACTTGCAACTATCTGAATAAACGTTTATCAAATTTAGCAAAGTGAGGTCAATGTCAAAAGTAGATAAGGTGGGTTGAGGTCGGGGAAGTCTGAAAAAAGAGAAGGGTGGTGCTTCTTGGCAGGTGTACACAATGGTATCAACGTCAAATTGTCCAACAATATTTACATAATCTATGATCTGAAACGATACGCAAATGGCGCTTTTTTTGTAAATTCCCCCTCCAGCTAGTCGATCTGTAATTGATTTGTAGAAGAATTTTGAAGCTAAGTCATGAAGGGAACTACAGAACCCTGGACTATTCAATGTGTTAGTGTGAAATGTCGGTGCATGTATGGTGATGTAATTATGTTTCCTACAGGACACAATGCATCTCCAAAGTGGACCACTTCAAGTTTTATCAGTACACGATTATCCCAGCCGTAAGTAGTTTATTTCTGTGTACCTTGCTTCTTGCTTTATAACCGTCTTTCTTCTATAATAAACAACTCTATAAACTACATGACATGTCTTTAGCCATTACGAAATGAAAAGTACGCCTAGTTTCACATCGCGGTCCGTCCTTGTATATTGTATTGATGAAGACCTGATATACAATGTAATACTATACGGATGAGGTAATTGGTAAACGACGTCAAAGAACGTTGCTCGATCGTACACACTGTTGTAGAGGTCAGTACACACTGTTGTTGAGGTCAGTACACACTATTGTTGAGGTCAGTACACGCTGTTGTGGTGGTCAGTGCACACTGTTTCTGAGGTCAGTACTTACTGTTGTTGAGGTCAGTACACACTGTTGTTGAGGTCAGTACACACTGTTGTAGAGGTCAGTACACACTGTTTCTGAGGTCAGTACACATTATTGTTGAGGTCAGTACACACTGTTGTTGAGGTCAGTATACACTGTTGTTGAGGTCAGTACACAATGTTGTTGAGGTCAATATACACTGTTGTAGAGGTCAATATACACTGTTGTGGTGGTCAGTACACAGTGTTGTAGAGGTCAGTACACACTGTTGTTGAGGTCAGTACACACTGTTGTTGAGGTCAGTACACACTGTTGTTGAGGTCAGTACACAATGTTGACCTCTCCTGCCTGCAGGTACTGATCAGTCTGGCCTTCTCCATGCTGAAGACGAGAAGACGGAAGTTTTTGGACTTTCTCTATGGCCGACCAGCCCTGGTTCAGTGAGTTGTGACCGATTTAGATTTCTCGTGTTTTCTCTTCTATCTCAAACATGGAGAGGGAGCGCTTGTAGCAATATTCCAGCAATATCACGGTCGGGGAAATATGGACTTCACAAATTGTAACCATGTGAGAAACTGGAGTGACGATCGAGTGAGTGAGTGAGTTTATATTTAACGTCACATAAGCAGTATTTCAGCCATATCGTGACGAGAGCTACATTAATAATACATATAATTAGAACAAATAAAACCTGTCAACGATGGACAGTAAAATAACTAGATTTATCACAGATTATATTTAAAACTAGTAGATAGCCATAAAAATATAACATCTTACGTAACAATACAAGATAAAAATGAGCTATTGATCGCCTGCAACTGACAAGAGATCACCAAGATAGGGTCCATGGGGACTTACAGTACTTTTGCTACCTGCATGGACCCCAGCCGGATTTACATCATCCCTTCAGCTGTTGGCGATTATTGACAAATCTAGCCACAATTTAAAGGAACATATATGCTGCGATTAAAAACGTGGCTGAAATAAATAGACTTTGAAAGTCATGGTCTTACATATCCCCTCCGGAGGGCAATAATTTTACACTACTTTAACCCCCTTTGAGGATACAGCCACAAGCAATCTCAGTTATTAATTTTATTCAACCAATTATAAAAAGAACACTGATTATGTACAGAATATATCATTCAAAATTTATGCAGTAATTCAATTTCCTTTAAAAAACCGATGACTAAATGAGAACTAAGATTAAAGATCCTTGAAGAATGAAACTTTGAAATAGTTATCCCTTGTGATGGCAAAATCAATACAGTCAAGCAGGACATGCTTGACTGTGATTCTTTCCTCACAAGCGATGCAAAACGGAGGATCTTCACCTTTCAACAAATACTCATGTGTATATCTGCTATGGCCAATACGACATCGTCGCATAATGACCTCTTCAAATCTGGACTGACAGCCCAAGTAGGTATAACCGATAGTTGGTTTAATTTCATTTAATTTATTGATACCTACTTGGGTGTCCCACTTCTTCTGCATGAAATCCCTTATGTAACATCTAATAACAGGTTTATAATCACTGTATGGTATCAGAAGTGGTGTCAGAATGACGATCGAACGAATTAACCTCTAGACTATCAGCGAAAATGGGAGAGAAAATGAGAGGGTTTGCGCGGTACTGATGGTTGTGAACAGTTTATTTCAAGGAGGCCTAAGAATTCTGATGATTGTCAACAGCTTAGTTAGCTGCGGCACATGTGTCTCCGCCTATTATGTAACACATGTGTCTTCCATTACCTACACTTCCTGTACCAAGGGGTGGCGGGGGTGGCCCAGGCGTCCAAGGCGCCGCGATTCGCTGTGCAGAGTGGCGTCCCTTGGGCATGCCGGATATCTATGATTGTGGGTTCGTATCCCGGTTCGCCCAGATTATGTTTCTATATTTGTCAGCACCATACCTGTGCTCATGGGTTTCACCGGAGTGTTAAACGTCTGAGACCTGCATCACTTCGGGCTTTCCTCCCACATTAAGCTGACATGCCGTGATATAACTGGAATACTGTTAAAATCGGTGTTAAACCCAACTCACTCACTCACTCCTGTACCAAGTTTAGAACCGTCATATCTTGCCTGTGTGTGTCCAACAAAAATATCTGATATATTTTCTTATTACAGCCCAATGGACGCATTGACAACATCTGCCAGCATTTCCTATGTTGCTGCATTCGGAGCAACCATCTTCCTTATATATGAAGTTATATTTGAACAAAAGTTTGCCTTCAGATATGATGGACCTCTCGCCTTGAAAAGTACGTATACCATCCCCAAGTCAATATGTCATTTGGAGGAAGGGTAACTTTGGAAGTCAAACGTATTGCAACTCTCTGAGTTGAGTTGCCTCCCTTAGGTGGGTCAGAAACCTAATCGTGGGGTCGAATCCAGGTTCGCCTTGGTTATGAGTTTAGGTTTGAATGCACTATACCCTTGCCGGAGGGTCGTACAAACATGGTCAACTGTAACATTTGCATCACTTTGGGTGTCGTCTCACATCAAGTAGTTGTAGCACAATTATTGTTCAAGAGAGCGTTCGACTCACTCACTCACTCACTCACTCTGGCCATGCACAAGAAGCCGCATTGCCGTGACTGTCTGATCACTACTCATTGATGACTTTTACGTTGATATGACGTCATAGAAAGACTGGATACTGGCAGCCCAAAAGTCGGAATCAAATCACTTCCAAAATGGTTACCCACAAGCTCAAATTGTGTTATATATATTCTTAAAAGGAAGAAACACAAAGCCAGATTTGTGTCAGGTAGGAAAATACATTTTTACGAGGAACCGGATAAGGTATTAAACCAAAATGTTTTGAGGTGAACACTGGTAAAGGTCAGCTACCATCAATAACGCGTATGTCCCCCTTTGGAATCGATAGCGGCCTGGCATCTGCTGTCCATGGAAAAGATTAGTGCGAATCAAATCCTGGGGAATGGTGGCCCACTCGGCCTACAACGCAAAAGCCAACTGCTGCAACGTGTGGGGTTGTGTTTGACATTGGCGTAGCCGTCTATCCAATTCATCCCACAGGTGCACTATCGGGTCCAAATCCAGGGATCTGATGGGCCAGGGGAGAACACCAACGTTGTTAGACAGGGCCTTGTGATCCGTCCTGTATGCAATCGAGCGATGCCTTGCTGGAATACACCGTTGTTATTGGCTGTAATTGGGAGGACGTGTGGTAGGAGAATTTCGTTGATGTATCGTTGAGCCGCAGGATTGCCATGGATATTGATCAAACTTGTCCTGCCATCATGAGAGATATCAGTCCACATCATAACGCTACCCCCAACAAACCTGTCCACTTTCTGTACGCAGTTTCCGGCGTAACGTTCTCCCCGACGTCTGTAGACCCGTGCTCTTCCATCCCCTCGACAGAGGAGAAATCTTGATTCGAGTCTGAACCTGACATCTCTACATTCCAGTTGAGGCCATCCTGTGTTGACGACACCAATGCAGTCGTTGTTAACGATGTTGTTGACTCAATATGACGCGTCGAACAGAACGTCTTGCTCGTAGACATGCTGCTGTTAAACGGTATCTTACGGTCTTGTCGGAAATTCTGCGCAGTCCGGTTATTTAGGAAACGGGTGAGGTGGCTTCACGTAGGTGGCGCAGTCTGATGTAGCGATCTTGGGCGGGGTTGGTTACTCTTGGTTGTCACAACCATGACCGATCACGTGTTGACCCATGCTGTTGAAACCGATCCAAAACCTTTGTGATGGTGCTGGGCGCTACATTGAAAACCATGGCTACAGCTGATCGGGATTCCTCTGTCTGCAAGCGGCCTATGACGTTGTTTCGTTGCAAGTTTGTTTATCTTTTCATGTTATTGAACTGTAAATGTTCGATGTGACGCATATGCCAGGCAATCAAAAACCCTGCACTTTAATACCGTTCATAGTGTTGCTGCACGTGCAGTACGTTCAGCTCCATGGCTCTTTTGTTAATGCATTGAATGCGTTTTTCCGAATCGTACGTGTTTCCCGACTAATGGTTTGCATCATCCTTGATGTGATCATTTTGAAATGGGAAATGTGCCACTGACACTATAACACATTGAACCTCTTCACTTTGCACCTCTTGGAGAGCTAGTTTTGCTTTCATGGCCCAAAATATCCGATTTGCGTTTCTTTTTTTTGAAGAGTATATATATATATAGTCTTGCAGTTGATGCTGGCAACACAGTGGCAATTTCATTGTCCCACATTACTGTTGCACACTCTTTTACTGCTAGATGCAGATAAAAAACATTGGGATTGCAGATACACAAAGTGGGAAGACTTTAAACAAAATTGCTACGACAGGGAAATCGCAGTTACTCAAGGTTTCTTTACAGATATCTATTTGCATCGATAACCATTTCTATTTAATCCCTTGCATTCTGATTCCAGCACTGATCGTGATAGTATCTATGATATGGTACGGCTTTGTCTACTTTCCTGTCTTCGCTTCATTGGCCGTAAAGTCAATCTTCAGCTACGGCCTTGGGGCCTTGTACGTGTGGGTCATCACCGCCATAGAGTTCTACAAGGCCGCTGAGTGTGACGTCAGATGGGTAAGGCCATATTGTGTGGACTTTTAACGGTCCAAATGGTTTAACATTACTTCCATAGGAAGCACAAATGTAATATGATTGTACGAAATCATGAGACTTTGTTAACGTAATAAAAACATCACTGGTGATTTAATACCACGATTGGTAACACAGTACATAACAAATGGTGTCGTCATACAGAACCATTGTTGACGTAATACAGGCACACTGTGATGTCACATCATCGTCGTCGTTATCATTAGAATCATTGTTGTTTGAATACAGGAGAGTCGCATGCTAGCAGTGGGCCGGAACATCCCGCACCTTCTCTGTCTGGTATATCTCAGCGTCATCCTACCGATCAGGTTTGCCTATGCCCTTAAAAATAAGAAGTATTTCGTGGCGGAGGAAACCGATCTTGATGTTCCCCAAACTCTGAGTTACATCCGGGACTCTTACCAGGGGGTGCACGTCCGGAAACTCTTGAAGAAACCCGCACCGAAACCTCCGTAAGTGCTCCATCACTGTCTGTAACTAACCTCCGTAAGTGCTCCATCACTGTCTGTAACTAACCTCCGTAAGTGTTCCATCACTGTCTGTAACTAACCTCCGTAAGTGCTCCATCACTGTCTGTAACTAACCTCCGTAAGTGTTCCATCACTGTCTGTAACTAACCTCCGTAAGTGCTCCATCACTGTCTGTAACTAACCTCCGTAAGTGTTCCATCACTGTCTGTAACTAACCTCCGTAAGTGTTCCATCACTGTCTGTAACTAACCCCCGTTAGTGCTCCATCACTGTCTGTAACTAACCTCCGTAGGTGCTCAATCACTGTCTGCAACTAACTTCGGTAAGTGCTCCATCACTGTCTGTAACTAGCCTCCGTAAATGCTCAATCACTGTCTGTAACTAACTTTCGTAAGTGCTCAATAACTATCTGTAACTAACCTCCGTAAGTGCTTAAAGTCTGCCTATATAAAACCTCCGTTTAAATCGGGTCATACATATTTCATTTCCATTGTAAGTGTCTGTCTTCTGATTCCAGGCCACCGGAAACAATCAAAGACAAAATCAAAGCCGGGCTCCTTGCTGCCATACACGGAGTACTCTATAAAAACGAACCAGGTGAATTAATACTTATCTGCACTGTCTACACGGTATGTGTATAACTTAGAGGGGTCAACATACAGTGTTAATACCAAAACTACCGCACCAAATGCCCACGCCCCACTTGGGGGTGAAAAACAAGATTTTCGTTCCCACGTTTTCCGGTATACATTTAACCTTTTCCATTGCATAAAGGAGGTATATGTACACAATCTTCAAAGGGTAGTAAGCTTGCAAGTGTGTTCGTGAATTTTCAGGGGGTCAAAATTGCATAAATTGAAGGAAAAATGCATAATTTAACAAAATTGACTGTAACATTTCTATTAAGTCATTAAACTATCCAAATTATGTCTTTGGTTACAGGTTATATGTTCGGTTATCTGAATTTGGCCAACATTTTGTTTTACTTGACTGTTATTCTAATTCTCAGTGAAAACATTGATAAAAATCATGTTTTTTACTTCATTTTCAAACTGTGTGAGTAGGTAAAGCACTCTTTCCATTGTATTGTGATAATAAAACCACTTTAACTGGTATTGAAATCTACCTGAACCATTGTACTATCCTATACTGAAAAAACTAAATGAAATATATTACATGGGAGCTGAGATATTGTTTACAATGTTACCCCCCCCCCACAAAAACAACAACAAAAAAACAACACCCCCATAAAACAATTTTGACGAAAATTGCTTATTGAGACATAGCGCTAGATTATGTTGATGTAGTTGATGAGTGGGATAATTGCAAGAATGCTTAAAAACACCAACATAGTAAACTCATTACGAAAAATTATGTTTCAAGTTTTTCTGTGAACATCTATGGTCGCCATCTTGACCTGTTTTCAAAATCAAGATCTAATATTATAATAGTTCTTCAACATGGTCATGTAACATATCATATGGAGCTCTTTACGTTGTCTTTTCAATGCTAATTTCTCTAGCGACTTCAACCCACACCCAAAGTCAGATTTCAATTAACATGGACATCGTTTCACTCAAAAGTGTAGATATACTGAACTTTTGTCTGAGCATTTCACCAGTTTATCATTTTAATGAAGAAACAAACATTTTTGACACCCTGACTGCACACACATGCAAGCTTATTCCCAATTGGAAATCGTGTGCAGATACGTCATTCGTGCAATAGAAATAGTTTCAGATATACAGGGAAAAGTGGGAACAAAAATCCTAACTAAGCCTCTTTTCCTCTGGTGGCCAAATGACTCTTTTGAAGATGACTTTGGGTCCAACCCTCAATGTAACCAAATTCATCAGCATTCGGCGCGAGTTTTGACGGGTTGATTTGCCACACCCACACCCTCCCCCTTCCCCTTTGAAACAAATTGTACATCTACCTATAGTGCTGGTACACATGTTCCTGTTCTTGTTCCAGGGTTCCGGTATTCGACCCGTATCCTGTCTGTTCTCATGGTCGGCGTGTTTCTCCTGTACGTGGTGAGTCAAGGCTTCAGACATCTGGATAACTGTTCATGCACGTCACCAGCGCCGTCCTGTCGTCTGAGGATCTTCACATTACAGGGTTTCGTCCTTTGGGCGTGGATTCGAAACTTAGATTATGCCTCCATTAAGTAATACTCGTCTCCATCACTTCAGCCATCGCTGACACCCCATGGTAGAACACAATCACCGTTCAAAGCCGCGTTAAACCCAACACACTCACTCATTCACTCACTCCATTTTTCACCGTGGTAATACACGTGTGACGACACAGCTCTAATGTACCTTATTCGCGTGGAACAACGTTGTTGCAAGGCCTAGGGTTCTTGGATACTGTTCCCTATGTCTAGGATTCCCTTCCAGGATTCCGTAGGTAACCAATAACTTGTGCTGTCGTTTCGTGAAAAATTGTACACTTTGTTATAAAACCATGTAACTTAGCACAGTTGTAGGCAATGACAATACAAATATTTTCAGATATGGGGCCACCCTAACAAATCCAGTATCGCCGCCATGGAGGAATGAAATTCTAGTATATCTCGTTTGAACATGACTCACAACCTAAATATATTAGGAAAAATGAACATTTTGGAATATACTTACCCAACACTACATCTGTAAAGTAAATAAATGTTTGGATTTTGGTAATCTGGAGAGTGAAAAATAATTATGTATTTCTTCCCTTTTCTGCATATCTTTAAGACATACATCATTGAAGCCCAATAACTCTAACAAAATTGTATACTGAAATGCTAAATAACAAAGTATTTAGAGAATAAAATTTGCATTTCTTTAAACCTTCTTGTACATGCTTAATATTTTCATTGGCAAGTGACAATATAATTGGCTATATCGAAATACACGTTAAATATTCACTGCAGTTGCGTGTCCTGTATCGAAAGTGAACAGGTGATCGTGTATCCTGTTAACATGACATTGACTAAAGGACATTGGACATTAGTATTGCCCTTCGATATTTTGATATTATAACATTGCAGCATGTGGACAATTCAAATGGACAACGAAGACTGTCAAATCGCACTCCACCTATATATAGAATACACATGTCGGTAGAACCTCCGTGGAGACCCAGGCCAGAAAAGGGCATGATCACTCTATTGCTTATAAAAGAGTCGAAGTTTTATGTTGTGGTCAGGGTCGGTTGCCTGGTTGATTGTGTACCATCGTACCCTGGCGGTGTGTTGTGTTGCTCACGGTGTCACCACTGCTTTACCTGGTCCAGATTAAATACAGACATGTAGCTCGAATACTACTGACTCCGACATGAAAAACAACTACTCTTTTTGTTTACAGATCACCTTCGAGGTGCTTGGTTTCTTCATAACGTTTTTTGACATCTTCATCGCCTATGCCGACGCATATTTCGCTGCCTATGACTTCAAGCCAACAGGACGTGAACAGTTCAATGTGCACGAAGTCCAGACGTGGGTGTTGGTGGGCTACTATTTGCTGACCGCACTGAAACGTAAGCGAGTGAGTGAGTGAGTAGGGTGTACCGCCGTTTTGATGAGTAACCCAGTTACATCACGGCGTGTCGTTTAATGTGGGTGGAAACCCCGTGTGATGCAGGTCTTTGGCGTTTCCCACTTTGTTGAAACCCACAAGCACAAGTATGGTGATGACAAACCTGTAACATAATCAGGGCGAACCATTCGATTCGAAACCACGATCTTAGGTTTCTGGCGCGCCTAAGGGGGGCTACTCTGCACAATGAATTGTATCGTCTCTGCCTATGTGGATTAAATGCCACGGCTATGATGTTCAATATTTGGACGATGGATGGATGCAGCACCTGTTGTTAGATATTGATGGTCCACGGGTGGTCCAGTCGTCTATGGCGCCAGCTATTTGCCGTGCCGAGTTAAACCGTAGGATCCATCAATCGTTAGTTCGAATTGAATACCCCCTTGGTTTGTGGCCACTATACTCGCACACTAACACATTAATATTGAATTTTACGAATAATGATGGGCTTTCAGTTGAACATATCTTTCATGCGCAGTTTGTCTGTGTGTGTGTCAGGACTCATTGGCCTTCAATTCCATGTGGTAAATCTTTTCCAGAGAGTTTGATCGTATCGACGGTGTTAGCGGTTGTGGTCGGGCTTGTGATGATCTTACACATGCTTTCATCCTACAGGTAAGACCCACAGGCACACCTGGTATCAGATAAGACACCAGGTGTCACGAGTTGGTGGCCACTCATCTTACAGATAAGACACCATGTGTCAAGAGTTGGTGGCCACTCATCTTACAGATAAGACAACAGGTGTCAGGGTTGGTGGTCTCTCATCTCACAGATAAGACACTAGGTGTCAGGGTTGGTGGTCTCTCATCTCACAGATAAGACACTAGGTGTCAGGGTTGGTGGTCTCTCATCCGTCAGGTAAGACGAAATGGTACACAAGACACTGGGTGTTTGCCTGTATTAACTCAAATGTTTTGATGTTCTTTTAACCTGGAGCATATTTGGGGCTGTGCACATTCAACATAACTCTGACTCCAAGATACTAAAATACAATGTTCGGTCCATGTCGGGCTCAGATATCTAGGGACACATTGATATAATGTACCATGCATGGCTCAGCGACGCATAACTACGTCGGATGTAAGAGTTGAGAGTTACAATCGTATTCCGCTGGGTCACGACGGTCTTTTTTATCAGAGCCACTCATAATATTACTGACAGGTTACAAAAGAATTTCTCCCCTGAGTTCAACCTCGATGTTTCAGAACCAACCTGCTGGCGTTATATCGAGGTGATCACAGCCACATCCCCTCAAGGAAGGAGAGGAGTAACGCCAGCCTCATGGTAATGTTGAATCAGAAGAAGAATCTTATACTATTAAAAAAATTAAGTATTTATTGTGTTAGGGTTTTGTTACGCGTCAATTCACGTGTATTACAAAATCCACTAAGTTTACTGCACAGCAATTACAATGGCAATAAACAATCGAGTGGTAGTACAATATCCAATGGCAATAAACAATCGAGTGGTAGTACAATATCCAATGGCAATAAACAATCGAGTGGTAGTATAATATCCAATGGTAATAAACAATAGAGTGGTAGTACAATATCCAATGGTAATAAACAATCGAGTGGTAGTACAATATCCAATGGTAATAAACAATAGAGTGGTAGTACAATATCCAATGGCAATAAACAATAGAGTGGTAGTACAATATCCAATGGTAATAAACAATCGAGTGGTAGTACAATATCCAATGGTAATAAACAATAGAGTGGTAGTACAATATCCAATGGCAATAAACAATAGAGTGGTAGTACAATATCCAATGGTAATAAACAATCGAGTGGTAGTACAATATCCAATGGTAATAAACAATAGAGTGGTAGTACAATATCCAATGGCAATAAACAATAGAGTGGTAGTACAATATCCAATGGCAATAAACAATAGAGTGGTAGTACAATATCCAATGGCAATAAACAATAGAGTGGTAGTACAATATCCAATGGTAATAAACAATCGAGTGGTAGTACAATATCCAATGGTAATAAACAATAGAGTGGTAGTACAATATCCAATGGCAATAAACAATAGAGTGGTAGTATAATATCCAATGGTAATAAACAATCGAGTGGTAGTACAATATCCAATGGTAATAAACAATAGAGTGGTAGTACAATATCCAATGGCAATAAACAATAGAGTGGTAGTACAATATCCAATGGCAATAAACAATAGAGTGGTAGTACAATATCCAATGGTAATAAACGATCGAGTGGTAGTACAATATCCAATGGCAATAAACAATAGAGTGGTAGTACAATATCCAATGGCAATAAACAATCGAGTGGTAGTACAATATCCAATGGTAATAAACAATAGAGTGGTAGTACAATATCCAATGGCAATAAACAATAGAGTGGTAGTACAATATCCAATGGCAATAAACAATAGAGTGGTAGTACAATATCCAATGGTAATAAACGATCGAGTGGTAGTACAATATCCAATGGCAATAAACAATAGAGTGGTAGTACAATATCCAATGGCAATAAACAATAGAGTGGTAGTACAATATCCAATGGCAATAAACAATCGAGTGGTGGTATAATATTCAATGGTAATAAATAATATGATAGCAGTGGTCAGTATCAAATACAAAAATACAGTGGTCAACGTCAGTGATAATATTGTATATTCTCTAAGTGGCGACCGTGGACAAGCTTCCATGTTTGCCTAGGCAGGGAATCAGGGATGACGAGCGATCATCACATGAAAGCTGGTCTCGACGTAATGACAATTGCTGAGAGATGCGAGAAACATGCCATTGTCCCCTTATATACCGTCTCACGGCTACCAGAACTTTCTAAAAAGTGCTGTAAGGCGCTTTAAAATTATGGACGAGTCTCGCCGTTTCCGGAAGTTACCACACCATTCTAGCTTCTAAATGTAGTGACGTCTTGACGACTGCTTACATTAAATAATACTACATTCATGACGACTAGTCACTGCTCAAATACAATGCAATGGGCGTCTCCCGAATCTCAACAGAAACAATGTTACTCAGTTACAATCATTCTTCAGCAATAAAATACACTACCATATAACAGTATATGTGGAATGAGGTTGTGGACTCAGCGCCAATATATGTCTATCACCAGTTGACTAAAATGAGGATTGGATAGTAACAATGTGTTACCTTACGCATAGTATATCATCCGCGTCGACACACGATTATACACGGCTTAATACAGCTTGAATGTTGCTCTGTATCCACCTTCTCACTCAGGATATCCTGGAGATGGTTAAATAAGTCTTGATACAGCTTGAATATTGATCTCTTCATTCACTTAAATAAGCTATCAGTCATACGAGGACGTTTTCGTTCTCCTGGTGACTACGAACCCATGTCTAGTGAAGCTCTCTCGCTATGTTGCAGCTGGGGTGTATGCGGTTTGCAGGGTACCAGGTGGGATACATCGCATGGGGTGAGTGATGCAAGGGAGATAACTGATATTTGCGCACTATTGAGCGCAAGGGCATTCTGCTTACTACCTACCTTTAACAAAAAAATCTCTCGGCGCCAAGTGAAGTTATTCCATTCTGTCCGTCATCCATACTGTGAAGGGAACTTTACCCCGTGGAGATCCAGGGTTGAAAAGGTGTTCAGCAACCCATGCTTGTCGTAAGAGGCGAATAACGGGATCGGGTGGTCATGCCCGCTGACTTGGTTGTTTTATGTCATTGTATCCCACTTGTGTAGGTCAATGCTCGTGATGTCAATCACAGGCCGCCGTCATGAAGCTGGAATATTGCAGAGTGTAGCGTAATACAAACAAACAAACAAGCAAACAAACAAAGGGGAATTGACCCGGGTGATGAATAGTCTCCCTTTAATTGTCCAATAAAAACATCCACACAGGATGAAGAGTAAGTGTGAGCGAGTGAGTTTGGTTTTACGCCGCTTTTAGCAATATTCCAGCAATACCTCGGCGGGGGACACCAGAAATGGGCTTCACACATTGTACTCATGTCGGGAATCGAACCCGGGTCTTCGGTGTGACGAGCGGACGCTTTAACCACTAGGCTACCCGACCGCCCTTCAGGATGAAGAAATATTGAAGACTTTTCAAGAATTGTGTGTTGTATGTACTACAAGAAAGGAGACTTAGACTGACCCTATAATGGTTATTGTTTCAGAGTGTTGAGTTTCTTCCTGACCAATGTTTCTTCTTTCAGGGTTCATAATCCAGTTAACTATCTTCTTCCTCCTCTGTTTGACAATATCCGTCATCGTTATACTTGTTCGGGGCGGCGTGTCAAGTTGGCTTGTTAACCGGTTATTACAAATATGGTAAGTAAGCATTTAATTGAACCAGTATTGTCTCAAAATATATATTAGGAGAATGACATCATATATTTATGTTGACAAAGTACAAAATATGAAACTGACAGTTGAAAGGCTGTGGCGATCTAGTTGTGAAATGTCATGAGAGGCAGGGAGACATTGTTTCAGCAAAACACGCATTTATTTCTGTTAAGGGAACAGCCAAACAATATAATTTGCTTTCAAAACATATTGAACTCCTGTCTGATTCCAGGCCGATTGTTGTGTGGACAGTAGTGCTGAACGTCCTCCAGCTGCTTTTGGCCAAGTTCCTCTTCGCACAGGGACGCGGGAATACGCTGTATATAGACAACAGGTGTGTATGTCTTCCTTCGAAGGGTGGGCGGGGACATGCTGTATATAGAAAACAGGTGTTTATGTCTTCTTTAAAAGGGTGGGCGGAGATACGCTATATATAGACACAAGGTGTGTATGTCTTCCTTAGAAGGGTGGGTTGGACATGCTGTATGTAGACAAAGGTGTGTATGTCTTCCTCGGAAGGGTGGGCGGGGTTACGCTGTATATAGAAAACAAGTGTGTATGTCTTCCTTAGAAGGGTTGGCAAGGACACGCTGTATATAGACAACATGTGTGTATGTCTTCCTTAGAAGGGTTGGCAAGGACACGCTGTATATAGATAACAGGTGTGTATGTCTTCCTTAGAAGGGTGGGTTGGACATGCTGTATGTAGACAAAGGTGTGTATGTCTTCCTCAGAAGGGTGGGCAGGAACATACTGTGTATAGACAACATGTGTGTATGTCTTCCTTGGAGGGGTGGGCGGGAACACGCTGTATATAGACAACATGTGTGTATGTCTTACTTAAATAAAATCGACCCGCACGAATGCACTCAGACGTATATCACTGAGCCCTCCCCCGTTCAAACAAATTAATCTCATGCGGTAATTATTTTCACGTATAAAGACACTTGCTATTGCGAAAGGCGTTCCATCCAAATTAAAGAGGTGAGGGACATGTTATGCGGCCTTTGTGTGTGAATTGTATTACATTGATTCGTATGGATCTATTTGTGATTATGTAAAACAATGTGTCTCCAACAATGAGATTGAAGGATCAATTTTAACATTCACTCACGAGTTGCCTCCCTTGTTTCAGGCGGTTCTTCTTCATCTTCACGTACTTCATGTTCTTCTTCAACATCTTCCTCGGCCTCGTGTCCTGCCTCATGAGGATCATCAAGGCCATCGTCCTGGGGGCCTTGTTCATGCCACGCCTCGACCACAGCACCTTGTCCCAGAGATTCCAGTTCTTCGATCCTGGTACTAATTGTTGATAGAGCCGTATAGTTGGGACGGGAGTCTTTGTGATAATAACAGCCCGTTAGTTCATTAACTCTGCCTAACGGTTACTGGTGGTGATTTCGAGATATTTGTTATATAGTTAAATGCCCGGACATCCCACACTCCGGAGAGTTTCTGCTGAAATGCATCATAAGATTATCAAAGCAGCCCAGAACTGAATAAGGCCCAAACACTCCGAAGATTTTTGGGATGGTGGAGAGGGTGGGGTGGTGGTGGGGGTGGGGCTGGGGATTGGTTAACACAGTCTGGAAAATATTCGCGGTATGATAACACGTAATCAGGCATCAGAGAAATGTCTGTGCCTCATCGTACCCTTACGGTTCGTCACGATGTTGAAAATGACCCGTGAAGATCTGGGGTGGAATAAGCAGTCAGCAACCCATGCTTGTCATAAAAGGCGAATATGCTTGTCGTAAGAGGCGATTAACGGGATCGGGTGGTCAGGCTCGCTGACTTGTTTGATCCTTGTAATCGATCCCATTTGCGTGGATCGATGCTCATGATGTCAATCACTGGATTGTCTGGTCCAGACTCGAAAATTTGAAGACCGCCGTCATATACCTGGAATATTTCTGAATGCGGCGTTAAGCAACAAACGAACAAACAAACAAACGATGTTGACGATAATTAGCACTAGTTTGTCTGGAACAACCCGATTATTTACACGTCGGCGTGATGGAGCTGGAATAGTTTTGACTGCTGCGTTAAACATAATATCCTCGGACGTACTTCTTTTACAGTTGGACCCTTTGACATAGAGAAATAAAATATATCGAACAAAAACATTTGAGGGTCATAAATATTTTTGAGATATTTTTTGTTGTGAAGAATGAGCACACCATTTCATAAAAATGTTCCCCAAATGACCCCAACGTTTGTATAAATGTATGTGGATGACGGATTTACGAAATAAGGCGTTCTGTTGTGCAATCCTATTTTGTGGCATCTGATTTTAGAATAATTCGTGTTTTTGTTCAGGTTTTGCGGCGTATGTAGGCTACATGCACGTGGAGAACCAACACACACACCCGGTGATGATTGTATTCATCCGCCTCATGTTGATGAACCTGCACTTCCGGAATCTGGGCGAGAGTAAATCCGTCGACCTGAATGGTTCCATGGGAGCAGGTGATGAGGAAGACAGCATCCAGGGCATCAGTATACGTAAGTAGTGGAGGAACTATTGACAAAGACATAAAACGTCAACGCCATCACAATAACAAGAATCGACTATATGCTGAAAGAGATTCCTATAGGCTTTAAAGGCAAAATAATGGCGAAGAATTATAAGCATGGATTCCTGTAAGTCCTTGATGCCACCAGGTGTTAGTCAGAAGGGTTAGCTTCCCTACAATACCGGTAGCACCAAACAGTCATACAACAGTACATATCAAAATATGAGTGTTTGTTGTGCCATGTTTGTCTGTGGCGTCGACCATTTGGGGAGATGTGGATACGTGTGCGTGCTTGCGTGAGTGCGTGAGTGCGTGCCGGGGTGGGGTTTGGTTGTTGTGTAGCGTGGAAGGAGGACTGCTATTTCTCAATATTATCCGTTACCGAAAATGCTGGAAAACAAGACACAAATATACCCTCGATGGACATGGTGGACGGTCTGATAAATAATTGCCTCCTCCTTTCATTAGAGGTGGCTTCCTCTTGTGAGGCCCCTTCTGTATCTTCATATCTACGGAATGGTGCGTTGTTTACGTCATCTTCCACTTGTCTGCAAAGCTTGATCAGGGTTGAATCATTGACTATGGCTTTACAATGCTGTTAGTAATATTCAAATATTACCAAGGCGGGGGAATCAGAAATGGGTTTGACACATTGCACCCATGAGAGTTTAAAAACATGACAGGAGATTATGGCAAACGATGAATATGACAGTGTATATGGCCAACTGTGTGGGGATTTGACTGTGTCAGTGTCAGTGACTGTGGTTGTATCTGAGGATGCGATTGTGGCTGCGATTGTGGCTGAGGCTAAATGTGAGGTGAGGCTTTGCTGGTGTCTGAGGCTGTGGTTGTATGTGATATGAGGCTGTGATATAGGTTGTGGTTGTGGTTGAGGCTGAGGCCGAGGTTGTATGTTTGTTGCCTAAGTTATGTCTGAGGCTACGGTTGTATACGAGGCTGTGGGTGTATCTGAGGCTGTTGTTGTGTCAGAGCCTGCGTCTGCAGCTTAGGTTGTGTCAGAGGTTGTGTATATGAAGCTGTGGTTGAGGTGCTAGTTGTGTCTAACGACGCATGTGAGGCTGTGTCTGCGGCTGAGATTATGTCAGATGCTGTGGTTATAGATGCGGTTGCATCTGATGATGTGGTTGTGTCTGAGGCTGTCGTTCATTTAAGCATAACAATGATCATCCAGTACATTTCAATCAGGAATTATATTTACAGAAATGAAAGGACACGAAGCCGATTTGGAGGCGAAACAAGAAGCCAAACGACGTAAATATAAAGCCACCTTCAACTGGGCCGTGTTCTACACCCTCATCAACAACCCCCAGATCAGGGTGTACCGGAAGGGCTACATCCAGAGCAGGATAAAGGCGGTGGAGGAGGGGAGACGGATTCCAGTCAGTGATCTTCCAGTGGTCGATCTCTCCAGACTTGACACCTCGAGTGACACCGACGATAACAGCAACGACAAAGACAAAACAAACGGCATCTACAATGTCAAAGGAGAACGGATAAATGTTAAATCTGAAGCTCATATCGTGTGACAAAATTATATCAGCTGAAGTGATTACTTCGTGATGGTGCTGGGTGACGTTTGTCAAGCTCTATTTCCATCGATATTTTATGGTTGTAAAACCAACTTCAAGACGTCAGTTAATGGTCGGAACGGGTGAACAAAAGGTGAACAAAAGGACATTCATCACCTGCCTTTTTGTATATCTACACATGTGCTGGCAAGTGTGTGGCTGTTGTGTATAAGATGCTGTGACGTCAAAATGAACAGAGATCGCAGTAGGGGGCAGAGTCCCATTGGACAACATGTATGTCATGTACAAAGATAATTCATGATATTTTTTTAATAAATTATATATCACACAGAGTACCTCAGTCACAAGTAAGGGATTCACACAAAGTATCTACATGTATGTTCTTATCGAAAGTATTCACCCTGGGCAAGAGTAAGCAACTTCTGTGAAGATTGTTTCCTCTAGATTGAGACAAGCATTTTTAGTAATTAATATTTTTTGTCCCATGACATCTATGTTTCTTCTAAATTGAGACGATCTTTTTTAATTATATATCTATTTTGACATTTGTGTGGGGAGTCGACGACATCCAACATTATTTTGGTTTGAAACTCATATTAAGTGTGATGAATCCAATGGTTCAATATTGGTTGACATTTATCCTCTAATATGGGTTTCAATAGCATTACATTTCACTATTTATCTTGAAACAACCGAAAGGAAGCTTATTGGTAATGAAATGGCATGGGTTGAAAGGATAGATAGGTTTCCTGCGTGCCATCATACCATGCAATGGAACATTAGGTTTACTGAATGGTTGACTGAAATAGGTCATTATGCATTTTAGTGAAATCATATATCAACAATAAAATGGTTTAAGTCAGGGAATCACTCCATCATGTTGATTCTCTTTCGTTCTTCATTACGGAAATAGGAGGTGGAACATGAAAATATACTCTGCAAAAATAGAAATGCAAAAGTGATTTTAGATGTATATTTTATATATAATAAATAATCCACAGGTGGTAATTGATTGTTAAAAATTTGGCCCACATTTTATGATTAACCCAGGTTCCATATGACACACATGGAATAGTAGATGAAAGTCATCGGATCTCAAAATCTTGTATGGCCACCATTAGAGTCCAAAACTGACAGGAATCGTCGTCCCATTAAAGGAATCAGATCCCGAATTGTGGTCTAGTGTGGTGCACTCTGCCTGGAGTACTTGTGCCAACTGTCGAAGGTTCTGTGGTTGTTGCTGACTTGTTCTTATAAATGTTCGATTGAAGACCTGGAGGGCTATGCCAGGAACTGGATGTTGTGATTCCTCCAAAAGGCTGTTGTCAGTCGTGTCGTGTGAAGTCGGGCGTTGTCTTGTTTGAAAGTGATGTTCGCTTGTTGTATAGTGGGAATGACGTGTGACCGAAGAAGCTCATCCGTGTAACGTTGTGCCAAATAAGACACACTTTATGGATAACAACTTTTATATTTTACTATGAAGGCGACGGTTCGGTATAGATCCTTATGCCCACATCACCAAACAAAATCACCACAATCAAATCTGGCTACAGCTGAAGATGATTCTCCAGTTGGCCGATGACGTTGTTGCGTTGGGCTCCCGTCAGATGCATGTTTTCACAGTTCACTTGCTGCACGATTGTGATGGCATGCAAATAAAAACCCAACCTTTTTATAGCCCAGCAAGAGATGTTTCCCGTGCATCATGGTGGTGTGTTTCGGCGCCAGGCTCTCACATGGTTGTCTTTTTGTGATTTCTTTTCGCCAAATGGAGGCAGTGCCTCATTCTTTCCATACAAATCAATCCGAATCAATCCAAATATGACTATTTCATTTTAGTATTAATTTTGTATGAATGACGGCAACACATATTTACGATTTCACTACATTTTTTTTTTTGCAGAGTATATAAGAACTACATCAAACCAAAGACCATAACATAGATTTCTTTGTCTCTGATCAAACCAATACTCATCACCATTTTCATGAAGTGAAACGCTGTAGGTACAATTCTGTAGTTAAATGAACATATTTTGTATCCTTATTTGGATAAACTAATACTAATACACTAATACGCTTCAACAGAATTGTGGGAGACCGACCATTTGATACAGCTACAGCTTGAAAACAAACATTATATTTTATTTAAACCTAAGAGCCTGATTTTTGTAAATGGAAAATACCTGGTAGTAATGTTATTTTGTAGCAGGCAATTTCATTTTCTGTCAAAAGTGTGAAGCATAGTTAATTTTATTAAGAATTTCCGGGTACATATTATTTTTTTCGTTAAAATCGACCACGCAGAATATCAAATGGTCTGTACCTTACATGTCAAAAACGCCATTACTGTAAGCAGATCCCGAATAATTATCAATCATCGCCTCAATCATGTGAACAAGTCCCACTGGATACTCCTGGTGTTGGTGCACATGTCCCGGATGAGTTCCCACCTCTCTGCAGCTGCTTCTCGGGAAGATGTCGGACTGTTATTCAGGTTGATGAGACAGGTATGGCAAGCGTCAGTAAAAGGCCTCCTTGTCTTCTAAAGACTGATGAATGCATGAATGCGAAGATATCATACTGGACAAGCTTTTCCCAACCATTGTAATGTACTATAAAAATATAATTTCGTCTCGTGTTGTGTTTGCTGCTATGGTTAACACTACCTGAAAACTCGTGATATTTGACAGGGCATCACTGAAGCCACCGATACCGGGGTGTTAACAACAGGTAAACGGCAGTTGACGACAGTCGTTGCTCATGGTCCGGGTATCACTGGTTACAGGTGTGTTGATAATAGAGACAGAGACATGACTTTTGAACTTCTTCTCTGTATCCTTGAGGGCTTTTCCCATGTAGTCGTCATGTGTACATTCCGGGTGAAGAATGTGTACCTAGTATCTGATGACTCTCCTTAGTGCCGACTAACTTCGTAATCAAGTAGCTAGATCCCGTGTCATGACCCGATATCGCGGGCTAAAGACCTCTCATGATTATTGAAGTTCGCCATGATGTTGCTCTGACATATATAACTCAGGCACTCGTCTTATTCCGGAATCAACGGAATCTGCACATTGAGTGTCCATGAAACATGTCATCCATGTAAAGGATAACAATATTAATAATATATAGTCTCAATTATTTTACGTAATGGCACCGGTACGAACATATATAAGGTAACTGACGTGTTTTAACAGCAAGACATGACACATACATAAGGTTATCACGAACTCAACGGGACCACTAACTTTAGTTCGTTACAGCCGCATTTCTTTATAAGCACATATACAGCAGATATGCTGCAAATTGCCGGGACCGAATAAATAAGTTCGTTATATCAGTCAGTTGGTATTAGGCGTGTATATAACCGTAGTGTACTGTACTTACAAAAGCGTTTAAAGGATGATAATATTGTCCAATGGTTTTGCTTTACAATCTTTTGGACACATATCTCTGCCGAGGCAGCGGAAACAAAATATATCAGGAAACAGTTTGAATATCTGAAACCAAGTTTATTTTCTACCTACAGACTCATTTTGCATTGTTTGTTTCCAACTTCCCATTGCTACTATTTTATCGCCCCGTTCGGAAACTTTCTTTCGTTATATCACCATATAGTCCTTATGCAAGGCCAAAACAGACAGACACGCGACCTCAGTACAGAGCTTTAACGGATTCCTGCCATGTAGCAGAACAGGGAGAAGTTGTCCATGTGATACTGGTAACACATGCTCCAAACGCTATCAATTGAGTCGGGATGTATTAAGAGCCTGATTTGATGCTATGCAATGCGTGTCGATGTAGTTCCGTGACTTTGACCAGAGACAGCAGCTGTAGCAAATCTAATACCGATGTTAATGCCATAGCGACCGATTTGGATAACCATTGTCTGAACGAACGTCAAACGCTAATTACCCTGTAGCCATGACGCGTATATGCCTTGAATCACTTAACTGCCATTTCTATAATCCCTGTTGTTAATACACATTGCAGTGTACAATGACCGTCAGCCAACGAGCAGTGCAGCCATGTCAGATTAATTAGAGGTGTTTATATTTATGACTTAATCCGTCTAAGGTGACCCTGGATAGAAGCCCTGGTCTCACCCTCAGCTTAGCTAGGGTTAGTCTAGGTGCTCCGAGGCACCAAACCCACCACAACTATCTCTATGTGCTGATCTAGCACATAGTGCTTCTTGAATATCCAAAGATCCACCTGTATAAAGCAAATTATATCTACCGCAAAAAATCCCCGCCATGTCACTTCCTATCGAGAACCATACATCGACCCATTACATACAGGCATATGTAAGTTTGTCAGTATCAACGTCCTGTGTCTGCAACACACATGCAGCCAACGCGTTGCTATTAGCAACAGTTTTAAGGAATAGCATCTGTAAAGCAGCATATACCCATTTAGACATACAGGTCCATCTGGCTTGGGGCAGACATAAGTTAAACCATTTTCGAAATCACATTTCGATCATGATCAAACAGCAGGTTGGGGAAGGAGGGATGTTTTTTCGCTGCTACTTTGCACTATCCGCCAAAATGATGCTATGATCACGTGGAAATCGGGCTATGTGGCAAACTGGTACTTATCGCAACGTAAGACCTCACAGAGACAGCGACCTGGAACTGTTTGCACATAACATCCCCTGGTGTTTGGTACATCTAAGGTGATAAAGTTCTTGCTTCACAGCCTTACGACAATCATCTTTGCCAATATACAGTTTATGCAGAACAATGTGACTTATGGTGAACGTGAGTGATACCTAAACAAACATCGAACAACTGCCGACAGGGAAAAAGACAGATGTAAGCATTATATCGCCCAGTGAAAGCAATCACTGGCATAAGGTGACTAAATTGACAATAAGCACTTAAAAAGCTATCGAGAGATGATTCATAAAAGTTTTACGACCCTTCAGAATCACTGCATACAACAAAGTCTATCACATCAAGAACTACACTGTACATCCGTAAAGATCCGGGTAGAAAAGGTCTTCAGCAGCTCATGCTTGCTGTTAAAGGTGACTATGCTTGTCGTAGGCGGCGATAAGCATGATTGGGTGGTCAGGCTCACTGACATGGTTGATGCCTGTCATAATAATATCCCAATTGCCTGGATCGATGTCCATGATGTGAATCACTGTATTGTCTGGTCCAGGCTCGATTATTTACAGACCGCCGTCATATAGATGAAATATAGTGCTGCGTTAAACAACAAACAAACAAACAAACGTCAAGAACTGAAATGATATTGTCGAAATACGCCAAATCGTTTTAAAGTTTTCCCTTGTTCCAAGATTGTACAAAACGTCTAAACATATCTTTCGGCTCCATACGTGTAAATGTGCTGACTGTTCTGTTGTGAGAACAAGCCTGTGATTGGTCAGTCGGATTAACTCTAACCCGTTAGGTCACTTCTGACTGAGTGTGTGTCCTACTGCCGGTGTTACCGTGGGCGTGTTGCTATTGGCTCCCTGTCTTCTGGGTACAGGCGGGTGTGCTCGGACAACTATCACCCCTTTCTTATATCACCAAGTTATTGTTACGAAATATATCATCATCAACTTATATCGGTAAGTTAATATGAATATTCTTAAAGTAAATTCCATGGGCATAATGAACTAACTGACCGCCGCATACAAGATATTTTATATATTTCACATATATAGAGGGTATTTCATGTATATCAATATATTCATATTTCAATCGTTGCTACGCCACTCGTGAAAATATCTCCTTTCTCCCGTAACCAAATGAGAGAAACATGCTGTTTCACGAGACACATGGAACATCCTATTTATTAATAAATTTTGTGTAGTTGTCTACAGGAAAATATTTTTTCATTACAAATGTAAAACCTTGAAACGTTAATTCTCCCTTCCGTTCTCACAGGGATGTTTCACCTCCCCTTTTAATTGCGACTTAAAAAGTAGTTATGCGTTTGCTAAAATTCTTTAAAATATAATCAATAACAAAAATGATTTGATGTAACCATGAAACAAGTCTAGCGAGCCAGGCTAACACAATAGGTCAATCCCTCTGAGAACCAGTGATTAGCGTGTTCACATCACAGGATCGACACACATGGTTAGCCCGGCTGTAAGACAAGGGTAAATTGGGCAAGGTGACAACCTACCTGAATGTAATTCTTTAATAATGACACAATCGTCCATAGTTACAGCCGATAAACCTCAACCCTGGGCGTTGTGATAGATGCAGGAATTCGTAATCTTCAGTTATGCGACTTAAGTTGTAAGGCCTGAATTGTATTTTTGAGGTGGTCGGTGGTAGGAACAGGTATTGAAAAATTGGCGATGCATACGTCATGAAAGAGGTTTATAATCGAATTATTAACCTATACCTACCCAGTAGAGCGCCAAGAAGGCTACTATTAACTGATCTACCCGGTTCTCAAGCGCTAACATTCTGAACATGCAATTGGGATTGACGTAGCCACTGAGCATACTATTAATTCAAACACTGCCGTAGTTGAATAGGAAATTTAATCATTTCGTAGAGACGATGGTACACGTAACTTTGTTTCTGTGGTCCAATAGACTATAATTTTTTAATTTGAAGTTTACACGATATACGGCTTTTCCAGAGGTCGGTCACATGGCCGCGAAATTGGCGTTCATAAGTGTATGAACGACACAATTTGACGTTCATACGTTTTACACGAGACCGTGTTCTTGAAATGACGTAAACACTGACGAACTACTTCCACATTCCTGGGGAAACCCCTGGGAATTCCCTAGCACGAAAACGCACATAAGCGTTTTTTCTGATCATTTGGACTTTTATTCTTGGTCTCAGCGTTTCAGTACACATTCAGAAATGTCAGAGCGCGTGACTGCATGATTGTTCCTCGCTGCGGCCTATCCTAATGACCAAACGATGAAATGCACATCTAAACTATCGTAGTGTCGACTCGATCCGTGCCTAGGCTGACATTGACCGTCTCCAGCGATCTATGAATTTACCTTAGTGTCTGTTTGACGCATCTTTATTCACCTTTCAATGATCGGCCAGTTGATCAATGATGACGTACACATGTAACCGCCACACGTTCATTAACAACTCCGGAAATTCTCTCCCGTCACGTTTATCGTGTCTTACTTACTTACTTACTTACTTACTTTGGAGATTTAACGTGCGCTTTCCGACTGATGCGTATTTCGCACACGGGCCCGGCCAGGCCATTTAATGTTTCCGAAAGGGGCGAAAGTGGTCTGTGCAACCCAAGAGGGGGGTTTTAGGGGTTGCTTATATAGCATTTGGGAATTTTGAGATTTGGAATAGATGCCGATGGGATTGGGGAGGAGAACTAAGGGAGCTGGGTATGGTGGATGTTTGTTTGTTTATGTGATTTTGATTTGGTAGGTTATTGTGTTTTTAGATGCGTTTTATTAGTTCCGTTTTGATTCAGAATACGCCTAAGGCCTTGAAGTTTTCTAGTTTATTTTGTGGGTTTAGTATTGCTTCTAGACTTAGAGCCTTGTTTAGATTGAGGGTGGTTTGTAATGCGGTTCGATGTGTTAGGTAGTGTGTGCAGTGGATGAGTGCGTGTTCTGGGGTTTCTGGTTGTTTGCAGTGTGGGCAGTTACCTGTAGTGTGTTTTTTAAATTTTTTTAGGTGGTTATTTAGATTGGTGTGTCCTGTTTGGAGTTTAATGATTACTCTGTCGATTTTTTTGGATGGATGGAGAATTTTTGGTTTGGTTAGTGGTATGCTGAGCACTTTTTTTATTTGGCTATTTGAGTTTAGATATAGGTTATACCCTTTTTTGTGATTTTTTGCTTGTTTACACTTTTAATTTCTGATTTTAAAATGGGTAAGTTTAAGCTTATTCCTGGGATTTTGAGGGATAGTTTTGTTGCTTTGTCGGCGTTTTCATTACCGTATATTCCTACGTGGGCGGGTATCCACAAGAAGGTTATTTGTTTGCCTGCCTTAGTTAGGTCGTTGGAGCTTTTAAGTATTTGATTTATTAATTTAGGTCGGTTTTTGGTATTTTTGTTTTGGAGGGCTTGCAGTCCACTTAGGGAGTCGGTAAGTATTAGGATTTTTTTGTGTTTTTTGGATTCTTGATTATGGAGGGCTGAGGCCATGCCCATTAGTTCTGCCGTGAATATTGATTGGTTGTTTGGGAGTCGGAAGGATTGTGTGGTTTTAGTTGGTTGTGTGGTATGGACTCCGAAACCTGTGTGTTTGGAGGTCGGATCTGAGGATCCGTCCGTGTAAATGTGACACCAATTTGGCCAATTTTCGTGTATGTATGCTAGTGTGGTAGTTTTAGCTATGTTTGGGTCGGTTTGTTTATTTATTTGGCTAGCTAGTGTTGTGTCTATTTTGGGTATTTTAAGTTTAGGGGTGAAGATATTTGATTGTTTGCAGTTTTGTTTAAGATTTTTAATTTGGTGTTCATTTAGGTAGTTTGTTATTCTTTGGGATGTTGGGGTAAGTAAGGGGTGTTTACGAGCTAGAGCTTGGTTTTTGGGGCTGATGTTTTGGTTTATTAAGTTTTCGATGAGAGGGTTTGATTGGGACGCGGCCCAGAAATTTAAGCTTAGCTGTTCCCTGCGCAGACTTAGTGGCATTTCTCCTGTTAAGGCCTGAAGTGAGGTGTAGGAGGTGCCATGTTGGGTGCGTGTAATTAGTTTGAGAGCCTGATATTGTATTGAGTCAAGTTTTTTAGATAGAGAGTTGTTTAGGGTGTTGTATATGGCGCAGCCGTAGTCTAGTTTTGATCTAATTAGTGATGTAGAGAGAGAGGAGGGTATCTTTGGATGCTCCCCAGTTAGAGCCAGTTAGGCATCTTAGGGTGTTTAGGTCTTTACTGCATTTAGTTGTTAGGTTTTGGATGTGAGCATCCCAGGTGAGATGTTCATCGAAAATAAGTCCTAAGAATTTGGTTTGTTTTTGAAATTTGATTGTGTGATTGTTTAGCTGGAGGATTGGGGAGGCGGGTTTCATGTTTTTATGTTTGAATACTATTCCTGTTGTTTTTTCTGAGTTAAGGGAGAAGCCCCATTTGTCAGCCCATTGTTGTATTTTATTAAGAGATTTTTGGAGTAAATTTTGGACCATGTTCATGCTTTTAGTGCGGATCCAGATGGCTCCATCATCCGCGAATTTTGATGTGTTTACTTTAGGGGATAGGCCCTCGAATAGATCGTTTATCATTATATTGAAGAGGGTGGGGATGAGGATACTGCCCTGTGGAGTACCATTTTCTAGGGGACATTGGTCCGATTGAGTTTGGTCTATACCCACGGTTATTTTACGATTGTTTAGGAAGTCCTGGATGTAGTTTATCGTGTCGGCCATTTTGACGTCTTGTACTTGATGTAAATGTATTACGACGCGCTGTCATTGTGACTGACTTACTGAGGTAGTTCTTTACAGACCTTTCTCATCTAATGAGGATATGATCTGAACACATGTGCTGCTTAAGATGTTTCTGGAGAACAAGTTGTGCATCCATACGCCCATGTCACTCTCTTTTTGAGGAACTATTTTACTCCGCGATATAGCTGGTTGTTGTATGGCTGTCAGTGTAAACATGAAGTCACACGTACTAAATAAAATTGTGTTTAGATCTTGGCCTACATCCTTTGAGGTAAGAAATTGTGAATAAAGTCAATTATAAGAATTGACTTTCACTTTGTGTGAGTTCATTGGAGTATGAACCTTCATAGAGTGAGGGCCAAACAGTGTATGAACGTCGTCGCAAGCTCCGACGTTCATACAGTTTGGCCCTCACTCTATGAAGGTTCATACTCCAATGAACTCACACAAAGTGAAGGTCAATTCTTAAATAACATACAGGCTATGTGTATATTGCCATGTTTAAATGTCTTGCTTCACTTATCATTGTGTAACACCGTTGTTTTTCTTATCCTCCATAACATATACTATATCAGGTGATGCAACAATAAATTACACTTTTCTTGTGCCACTGAAATATCAATGAAATATCAATTTGGAAAAACTTAGGTCTTAATATTAAGAAGATTCTGAAAAAAATAACAAGAGGCAAAAGGCAAAGTTAAACTTATTAATCATATTCAACATCATTCACATATGTAAAATCTTATATCTTTTTCTTGAAAACATGTCCATTCCTCTGGATTCCAAAGATCTACAGAAATCCGCGCAAAGAGAAATATTGCTGGGTACATTTGATGTTTCATCTTTGTATATCTTTGTACAACACTCTCCCACATGACAAATACCACGAGAGAACAAGGAACGGAAAACAAACTAAGATTAGTGACCATAGATACAGTTACATATCTATATTCAGAGGCTCAGGACAATTTGTCTAAAGGGAAAGCGAAAACAGCATGTGAAAATAATGGACTTTCTCATTGATAACATCTGTATATAATTTGGGGTAAGACATCTTCGCAAGAAGCAGGCATCACCAGAGGCACCAGTCGTCCTCCCATCTTGCGGATCCATTTCTTTAAGTACATGACTCAGCATTTCTGCTCGGAATGGAAAAGTGAAAGCAAGGGAATCTCGCCGAGAGGTTATCGTAAGCTGCAAGTTTATCGATGATCTGATA